ACATGCTACTACAAGAATTTCATGTCAATAGTCTTTGGTAAGTATATATAAAATTTGAAAAACTTGATATAATTTCTTCATCTTATTATTTTTAAATAGTAAGAGATATAAACCTAAGTAATAAAAACGATTCAGTTATTTGAAATTCTACGTGGTCTTTATTTGATTGACGACAGAGCCACAACCGGGGAGACGACGCCGTAAATATAATTTGTTATAGGAAATCAAATTTTCATCGTTAGTCGTGTTTCCGAGTACATATTATATTTTAATCTTGCTAACTGTAAAATAAAGCCTCAAATATTATTTTTAATGCTTACTCTAAACTGAAAACGCTGAAAAGTCTATTTTTCGTATTACTAATTATAAGAAATTAATCTAATGATCAATTAATGAATTCTAATTTTGCTATAAGTTCCACAATATTATAAACTAGCGACTCACCCTCACTTCGCTCGGGTGATTCTTGAAATTGTCATAACTTTTTTATTTATGAGCCGATAGAAATAGAACAATAATATATAATTAATACTAAATGTTAAGTGAAGCTTACCACAAATACTTGAGTAAAAACCGCACTCAAATTGGTTTAGCCGTTTCTAAGAAAAGCGCACACAAACATATAAGCAAACATACAAACAGACAAAAATACTAAAAATCTTTTACGTTAATAAAGATCCTTAATAATAGTTTTTCTCAAATATCGTACAGACAGCAATCAGTTACACTTCGCTACGACGGAACTATGTAGTCTGTACTTTGTAGCAAACAAACATCGTAGACCCTTTGCTTATGTAGAGCGTGCGTAGCAATATATTGCTCGTAGCATAGTATTTTATTAAGATGGGCCACGGGTTTCCCTACAATGCGAGCCGTAGTCCACCAAGCTGCACTGACTGCTTGGTGAATTACATTTGTCTTTTGAATACTTGCTAGGTTCATACACGCAGCTTTCCTCGCGATGTTTTCCTTCAACGTATTAGCAAGTGATAATATTGTAAAAAAAATAGCACATGAGAATATCAGAGTTGCAAAACACAGCATTTCACTTAGTTTCTGTTTCAGGTTATCAATAATTTTGAAATAAAAACATCATCGACTCTAACTATAGCGTCAATCTGTGTTGAAAGCATTAAATTTCTCAATTTTATTAAATTATTATTATTTATGCGACACATTTGAAAATATGAATAATAAAGTTGAGCTAAACAGCTTAAATAAGGAATATTTTAGCTCCATTATTATTTCACATATCTGCAGTATTTCACCTTTAGGAACTTTGATCCAGAGGGATCCAATTAACTGAGTACACTCAACACTAAGGCAAGCGATTTTGGAATATATTCGTGCAACAATTTTATTAATGCAATAATTTATAAAAATATTAAAATATAAAACAATAAAATAAAATATGATTAATTAATTATAGAGGAGTAAAATTCGTATAAAATAATATTATAACAAAATTTTTCTTGCGATCACTTTCTGATATCTTATATTCGTTTAGATGATACACAACTAACGTTACGTGTTCTAACTTTGTTCAAAAATATCCAACAACACTTAGGCCTACATCTTACTAAATTCAATTTAACTTTTATAATATGAAATACATAAATTCAACAATTTCATGTCATGAAATACATATATTATATATATATGTAAATTAAGTGTTAAACTAACAACGCATTTTATGAAAATTCACATGTAACGAGTTAATCATACATTTTATTTTCATTTCTTGTTATTAATTGAATTTAAATAAAAAATATCTTTTATATTTTTATGCAAATTAAATTAAAATGCCAACTGAAATGTTCCTTTAGATTTTGAACTATATCTATTATAAACGAATGATTTATCTTTTTAACATAATAAAGTATTAAATAGGTATAACACGATTTCTTCATCGAGGATTTTAATATTATATTAATTATGTAAAATATTTTTATTCGTAAATAATTATTTTTATCAAATAATGTCGTAGATCAATTATCAAATAATCTAACTATTTTTTTTGATACATTGAATTAACAATGTTAATAATTTATATGACCTGTTAAAAATTCATCATCGGCCCTGTCTAAAATATAACAAAATATTAAAGTACACAGAAATATCACTATACTTTGTGATTTTTTATTTGTAATAAAAAAAATACACAAATATCAATATTTTTGTCTTATATTATGATTTATATTTTAAAAAGTAAAATGTTCTTATATGTCGTATTTTGAGGCGAGTGGCGTGAGTGAGGGCTTGCATTAAGGACTTAGTGTTGGGTCAAATCTAATTTGTAAGCGGATAAATTGTTTGAATTAAGTAGTTTAAGTATACATACGTACTAAACTATATTATTGTTACATAGAAAATTAGGAGATGAGTTCAAAGAGCCCCGATTCAGATTATAAAATTATTTTCAACTGAAAGATTCATGTTGTGGCAAAATGTTTCCAAGCTTTAGCTGGCACTAAATAATAATTTCAAATGAACGTTACAAATAAAATGATATTACAGTAATAAATTCATGTTATAATCTCTCACTTTAAAACTCTATTAAAATTGAATAAAAATGAACATTATAAAAAAGAGATTCAATCATTTTAGCATTGAGTGGTCCAACAAATACATAGATTGAGTAAAGGTGAGCGATATGATACTAAGCTTCGTATTTGGTAACGACAACTTGTGTTGAGATAAATTAAGTGGGAATAACAAACTAAAATAAAGGATAGGATCAAAGGAAATGAATAGCTTTAGACATAATAATTAGCTAAATGGACACTGTTACTTTTACCTTTATTGAGAATAATAAGCAAAACCGAGCAGTCAAGACTAAAGAGATAATATATTATTTGAGGTTTGGCGTTCCTTGCCACTTCATGCGTGTGGCCACACAAGTTTGACATAATATGTAAATCAGATATACCTAGTTTACCAAATATAGAATACGTACGTAGTACATAGCGTATTACACTTATTTACTTTATATCACGGAGGTACAATGTAGTTGTCAGTTTATTATTTGTTACCATAGTTTATGCCTGCCATAATATGGGCTTTTTCAATAATATTAGTATAGTAGTTTACAATAATATTATTTACAATACGCACAATTTATCCTCAAATAATAATAATTTAACCCTATTAACGTCCCGTTCGGCCTCCCCACATTGTGGATTCAATTAGGCCATAGTCAACAACCAAATACGGATTGGCATCCTACACATGTCTATCGAGAACTATTTCTATCAGACATGCAGGTTTCCTCTAATTATTTTTCTTCAATATAATATATAAATATTAAATGATAAATATTTAAAAATTGAGATTTGCTCATGACCTTATCTCTGAGTTACGAGAACTGATGGTTTCACTCGCTTCACAGTATTTCTGTGGTGAGCCAGCAGTGGACTATCACAACATAAAACGATTTAAATATTCTTCTAAACCACTCTTTTAAATGAAAATCTGAAAATATATCCGCATATTTTAGAGCTAATGAAATTCTCAATTCACTTAAGGCTTCCGAGGATATGCTGAAAGTTTAGCAACCAAATATAAACAACAGAGACGAGTGACTTAGCACGCCACAACTACGAACTATGAACTCGAGGATGTCAGATTTAATAATTTCAAATATACAGCTATATACATTTACTCACTAAATATATTACGCTTGGCGTGATTACTTGCCACTTGGATGCCGCGGCTTCATAATAATAACGAATAACGATAGCTTATAATATATAATTGAAGAGCGTCGCCATAAATTATTATTTTACACACGTTTCAGTATGAAATACTACCTTTTATCCAAATTATGTTGAACAAAAAATTATAATAAAAACGAAGCTTTTAGGTAGATAATACACATGGAAATTTTCTAGTAATATAGGGAATTTTATAAAAGATTATATGGAGAATTTCATAAAATATATTTTTTACATGATTTTCCATATAAAATTTCCTACTCTTGTTATTCTATATGTTAAATTGGAAAAGAATTTCTTAATTGCTATAAATAATAAATTTTTAAAGTTTTAGTCCCTTAAGTCCAATTGCATTTCGGTTTCATAGAGGCATATTGTATTTATATAAGAAATATATGTTGGTCTTATAAATTGTATATTAAAAATAGCAGTTAAATGAAAGTAAAAGTCAGTAGTAATATTAATAAAATTTTAAAATTAATATAAATATATATTTGAAAAAATGTTTATTACATTGCCAACTTACTTAGAGGCAAACAAAATTAATATTAGCTTATATTTTTTTAAATAACAGAAATAAATAGCTCCTTTCATTAGCAAAATTTTTTATACATGAATTACATATTTTCAAAATTATTTAGTTACTCAAGTACCTACATCGTATAAAGTATATTAGTCAAAAGAAATTAAAAATTTTCCTCAATATGGCTAACCTAAGGTAAAAAGTTATTTTCTAACGGTTTGGTTAAATATTATAATTTTTTTATAAATTTATATAATTTGAATATTTTATTTATATGAACCTACTTCAAATTTTTACCGACACTTTGCTATTACTTCAATAATTACGAAGTAATTATATATTTTACTTGCTTTCTAAAAATAAAATCATAATAGATCGGCACGCTTACTAAAAAAAAAACAAATTCCACTTCTTTACTAACGTCATTCACTACTTAATATTATGAAATACCAAATAAGTCATAAGTCATGTCCAAATGATAAATTAATTCTAATTTCATTGTTTTTCGATCTTTCAACGTACACCAATTTATTTTTAGTTTATTTGAATCTATTTTGAAATTACATTATATTAGAGACACAGCTGGTAAGCTGATAAAAAAATATCTATGAATTATAACGATTCCAGTAGCCACGAAACTTGAACGAATGAAAATCCCAGATCTGCACTGGAAGTATTCCCAAAGCCTACCGCTAACAGTACGGCGCTTTCATGAATATTTTTTCCGCGCGGCGAAACAAAACTTTTATCAGCTCGGAACTCACCTGACAGGCGTGAAGTTGCGTAGCGCGGGAAAGTGTCACGGAGGTAGTTGTCACTCTGCTGATACGATCGCATTCAATAACAATGTTTTTAGGCTTGCACGGCTTATATAGGACAGCGCCCCGCCCACTCCCGCCTCGGGGCGTTTCTACAACCTTCGTGCTTAACGTGATCCTAGTTTTCGTGAAAAGTCAGTGCCGTTTTTTTTCATGAATAGTATTGTTTATAACTAACTCCAATTAAATAGTTGCAGTCTTACTAATAATAACTGACTCAGATTATATAAAATTGTACGAGGTCGTTTTAATTAAAAGTTTCAAGTGTTTTTTTATAGTTTTCTTATATAAGTTAATCATTTTATTGATGCAACTAAAAGTAATTACACGTGTAAGTACATTTTATTTGTTGTATGATACTGAAAAATCAAATAACGTTTGTACATACAAATGTAAAAATCATGCTAGGTACAACTAAAATTGGAAATGTTATTTCTAAGAGTTTTATGACTTGAACGTTAAATAAATTCAAATGTCGATATGTCAAAGGACTGTATTTCAGAGTTAAACTGAATAATTGAAGCGAATTTGAACTCTTTCGAGAGCTCTCACTGTGCAAAAATATATGCTTTGCTGTAGTATCGTCAAGTCGTCATTGTATTAAAATAAGTTATTTTAGCACAATTTTAAAGTTTCTGCGTTTCTTATATGCAGTATTCTGCGTTCTTTATATGCAGTATATATTTATATTATCAAAATAATTTCTAAATAATATGTTTAGAACTAAACATATTATTTTGAAAACGAAAATATTATCGAAAAATGAATCTACTAAACTTGTTAATATAAGTACAAATTATTATTTTTTCATATTGCAAATATAAATTCTAAGAAAGAAGTGAGGTCTTTTATATTATTTTATTATTTCGATGTTGCTTCTCAGGGGGCATATTGTATTTCCTAATCATAAATGGAATATAATATATAAAATATTGAAAATAAATATCCTGTGTCAACATTTATTTTGATTATCAAATATGATTGAATCTTATTTGGGTTTAACTTGAATTTTTGGTTTTATTCAACGAAAGGTAAAGAAAGACCTAAATGAAATCATATACTTAATTAACTAAAAATGTATTAGTAAGATACATTTGATGGTAGAAGGCAATACATTTATGCAAAAGTTGTTTTTATGAAAGTTTTATTACTTTTAAGTAATAAAATTATAAGTTTCGACGTACGAAGTAAAATATATATAAAATTATATAATGTCCAATACTTTTATAATTTTAAATTTATAATATCATAACTAATAATCCGATTTCAAAACTTTATTTACTTTAGATAGCCAGTTTATTGAGGAAGACTAAGGCCATCCCGTATATAACCATCCCGGAAAAATGTACGGTTCCCGAACCCGAAGGGAAGCGAGGCTGAGTCGCTAGTAAAATTATAATATGTCAAATATTTTTATAATTTTAAAGTTAAGTTAGTTGTGAAACAAGTCACACCCACGATGAAATGAATTTCATTCAACCTTTTTGCTTCAGTGTCTGACATCTTCGGACACATTTCCGATTGGTTTTGTGTGGTATAGTTTTGTAAAATTAGTTACGTATAATTAGTCACTAATTACGTTACTAGGATTTATATTTGCCTAGTGAAAAAGGCGACTATCAATTATAGTAAAATTGTAACATTTTCAAATGTACCTATTATTAGTATTAAATTTATATTTATACGCATTTTAATTCAGATGTATGTACATACATAATTGTAGGTCGCGTCACGTCCCTCATAAATCAAACGTTAGCCAAACCACTTGAGTTACTTTATGACTGTTTACTTAGAAGCAATTAATAATCGCTTTCTGAATTCGTTTGAACGCAATAAACTAAATTAAAAATAACTAATAGATTCATTAGTAATCGAACAAACCCTGAATTTAATAAAAAAATATTTGACCTATCTACTATAGTGAAATTTAGTATGTGATGAGAGATCGAAAAATAAATTGATAAATAATTTTCAAATAATTCATGTTTAGTTAGATTTATGTATTTTTTCTAATGAAAGCAAAGCTTAAAATTTCACATTAAAAAACTCCGTGCACATTTTCCGAGAAATATTCAAATGAACATAGCAGTTTCTTTACAAATCTTTTGAATTGTGGGATAAAAAATATTTTTTTTAAGTTAGTTTAAACAATTTTATTATATAAAATTGGTTATCGTTGAAAACCTGGAAAAAACACATTTTAAAAGTAAAACTTTTAAAAAATAATTAAAATAATAAATTATAAATTGTAGAGCTTCTTTTTTAGCCTCCTTAGCCTCCTTATAAATCATCATATGAGTAATCAACATATTTAATTGCGATAGTCTAAAATTCTTTTTACTTTTCTTAGCAAATATCTTTATTTAATTAAATAAACATAATTTTTTTAAATAAAACTATCTTTTCGGATTATTTCGCGGATTTATTTAGATTTTTGGTTCCCGACGTTTCGAATGCTTTACAACATCCATGGTCACGGGAGAGACTGAGGTGTTACATGTCTTGAAGGTATAGTTGTTACAGACAGCCTACCCACAATTAACAATATGAAAATTGCACCAATTTCCTTACAATATTTTTTAACTTTAAACATTTTTATAATTTTAACTAGCGGCTCACCCTCGCTTCGCTCGGGTTCGTCGCTAGGTACGTTTTAAATAGATATAAAAAGAAAAAATCTTTCTTTCTCACATTTTAATTATATGTTTTAATACTTACCTATTCCGGACTAAGAGAAATCCAAAAATTAAAATATCATAAAAATTGGAACGCGGTCGAACGGGATAAAAAGTATCCTATGTCCTTCTCCTGGCTCTAAACTACCTCCCTGCCAATTTTCAGCTAAATCGGTTCAGCCGTTCTTGAGTTATAAGCGAAGTAACTAACACGACTTTCTTTTATATATATAGATTACTTTTATAATTGAATATGGAATATTATTTATTTAATTTTTTCTGTTATTCTTATAATTATTACAATTTTAAAAATATTAATTAGTAATGTATATTTAGTATTGCCATTATTATATGTATAACCATAAAGAAAAATATGAAATATGGTATTAATTATTTAAGGCATCTATGTGTAATTTAAAAAGTTAAAATTAATTAAGGATAATAATTTTAATTTAGTTTGCTATTATTTAAAAAAGACAACTTACTAAGCAACACTATTACTATATACTTTTACAAATGAAAAATGAAAAATATTAATCTGATATGCTATCATTTTGATCTACACAGTAAGAACTTACTACATCTACCTGTCTGTTATGTTTAGATTTATTATTTGATTTTATTCTATTAATAACAGGATCACATGACGATGGTAGTACCCAGCCATCTTCCCTATTGAAATTTGGAGGTTTTTTTTTAATTTCTATGGCTTCTCGAATCATTCTAGGGCGATATCGATTTTCTTTCGCCAGGATTTGAGGTCTATCGAAGCGAATATAATGGCTTGGGCGGTCCTGGCTATGTTTGCAGACAGCAGATGTAGTATTGCGACGGTGCTATGTGTTCTTTGACCCGGGTTCTAATGGATCGCTTTGTTTGTCCGATTTAAGAGAGCCCACAATCACAATCAAGCTTGTAAACTCCTGCATCTTGTAGAGGGATGTGACACTTGACAGGTGGTAAGAACTGACTAATTTTTTTGTAGCTCAAAATTATAACTCAAATGAGGTTTTTAAGAACTACTTAATTAATAAAAAAACAATTGGCATTTTACGTAAAAGTATGCTCTACAAATTTTATTTGAAGTTTCTCTAACTCACCCGTCCTGAATTATGTTAAGGCCTCAATAATCAAAACAACAATATTTTTAGATACATTTTTTTTTGGATACCAGATACTTGATACACTACAAATATATGTATGTACATAGTCAGCCCTTTTTGTTCTTTTAACGCCCCACTGCTGGGCACAGGCCTCCCTTCAATACGAGGGGGATCAGGCCATGGTCCACCACGCTGGCCAAGTGCGCGTTGGCGGACTTCACATGTCTTTCGAAAACTTCCTAGGTTCTCGCAGACATGCAGGTGTCCTCACGATATTTTCCTTTACCGTAAGGCAAGTGGTAATTACGTTAGAAATGATTCGCACATGAAAATATCACAGGTGCGAGACCTGAGGATTCAAACCCGATTCACTCGGTTACAATTTACAAGACCAACCAATTTGGTTTTTTTTCACGAGAACCACAGATATTTAAAAATCGCCCACATATATATAAGTATGTGTGATATTGAGCTATAAAGATTACTCTCGAAATTTTAAGAGATATACGCGTTGTTATCTTTTATTAATTTCTCAATAAATATCTTTGTTTAGCCATTTAATATCATCTACTATTTGAAGTGAATGCAAACTTTTACGTTGTTCATCTTGTATCCATATAAAATTACCTTTCCGATAATGCCTGACTATTATACCATTATATTCTTTACACCTTTAAATATAAAATACATTTTTCTTCGCACATAAAAAAATTATCTCTGTTAACAGATGAATGAACCTCATAGGGTAGAAGAATATGAGACAATCTTGCAATTTCTATAAGCTGATGCAAGACTGAAGAGTACAAAGTGTATTCAATTTTCCAGTTAAGTACCGTTACAACAGCTCCTTTAGAAATATTAATGACTATGCTTTTATTAATAAAATTTTAATGTTGCTAATTTAAAATGTACGTTTGTGGGATGTTTGATAATAGAAATCTACTGTTTTATAAATTTTGTGTGTCTATTAAGTTGCGTATTATTAGTTGGGTGAGTTTTAATGATTATTTATTATTTAACTGGAAAAAACATTCCTTACATACAAAAACTCAAATTTCATTTTAGTTAGCTTTAGAGTTTAGACTCTCTTCCTACGCGCGACAATACAGGACAATGGTTATATTTAGGGATTGTGAAAAAACACACGATCAAAGATTCAGTCTGAAGCTAGTATATAATACACAATAAAGAACTCAAGATGTGTTTTTGGTTTTATATGACTACACTCGTAAATACTTATC